TTCACAGTGCCACCTGAAAAATATGCCGTTATAGTTTGTGGTAAAAATTTGTGTCCGACCCTCTCCTGAAAAATATGCCTTACTATAAGTATGTCGTGAAAATGCTTTACAGTGCCAACTGAAAAATATGCCTTATGAAGGACTGTGGTTCTTGTTACCATTGCTAACTCTGAGAGACGAGACAGTCCAAGTAACTTCAAAACAGTGCTGATTTATTCAAAGGATCACAGGTAAAATTAACATTACACGCTCAGGTATCTTGCACCTCCAAACTGTGCGCAGGCAGATGTAAGATGAAAGACCCTGAACCAAACCAGGCCTATACATTATATCCCCTCGGTTGGGCTAGCCCCATACTACACAGAAACGTCAACCGAGACGTCTCTGTTGCCAGCTTTGCAGCTGGTCATAGCAGTAGTCAAAACATTGTGTGTGTCTGTTGGTTAAGTGGTGTGTAGCTAAAAACATTCTCACGACCTCTAGTAACATGTCGTGGCTTAAACATAAGAACCTATTATGGCTAAGGCTACAGTTATACACGTCATAATAATAATATTAAACACCCTGTCTGCTGACAGTCCTCAACTCTTCTCTCTAGTTATCCTTGACCAGATGTACCCTGTAGAAACTCATAAGCATGACTAAGCATTTAACAGTCTAACTAGACATCCTATCTCCACTAAACATTTCTAATACATAAAGTATCTATCCAATTTCTATCTGACTAGAAATACCTAACACTTATTATAGTATGTTCTAAAAATCCAGGTCCGACCCTCTCCTGAAAAATATGTCATGAAAATGCTTCACAGTGCCACCTGAAAAATATGCCTTATTATAATTTCTGTTAAAAATTGTGGTCTGACCCTCTATTGAAAAATATGCCTTACTATAGTATGTCGTGAAAATGCTTCACAGTGCCACCTGAAAAATATGCCTTATTATAGTTTTTGGTAAAAATTGGGTTCCGACCCTCTCCTGAAAAATATGCCCTACTATAGTATGTTGTTAAAATGCTTCACAGTGCCACCTGAAAAATATGCCTTTTTATAATTTGTGTTAAAAATTGGGGTCTGACCCTTTCCTGAAAAATGTATGTGGTAAAGAGTTATGGACAATGTTAGTAAAATAAAGCTGCTTCTTCTTCAAGCCAAAATTAGACCAAAATACTCGTTTTTTGTTTCCAGCTAATGGACAAATCATATTTACTATCGTCTATTTAGAGACTGTTGTCATCATGACTCCAGTGATACAACATTTTCTATAGCCAATTTTTAATGCCTTATTACTTTTCACCCACCCAAAAACTGAAGCCAATGATCCTCTCTCCTGTGTGCCTCCTTTATTAATTACCCCTTTTTCCTGTATATATCCCCCATAGACCCATGTTAAAGTAGAGAACTGTGTGTTTTAGAGCTGTCCGGCTGCAGCAGAGCCACCCAACGGAGCCATCCAGCCCTGTCACATAAGAGAGGCCATCAGGAGATACAACTATAGACACACAGTAAGTACCCATACACACAAACACTACATCCTTTATGATGGCTTCAGATTTCTTCCAAGTCAACCTTAATATAATTTTAGCAATCTGTGCTTGTTAAAAGAGTTGCTGGTTCTCTCCATACTGGCTATGATGCGCTCCCTTCCCATCTTGGTAACGGAGTCCTCACCCTGTGCAAAATGCATGAAGTTCAGCTAAAGCTAATATAAGACTTCAGCTGTCTTGACTTAGTCAAAGCATGTAGGCATCTGTGAAATTGTCTTTTCAGTAGGATGTCTTCTTGCTTAGTGAAGGTTTCTGACCACAACAAAAAGGTAATTTTATGCCTTACCATTTGCAAGATACCCACTTAATTTGTCCAAGTCAGATTGCTGAAGCCTTGTATGTACAGCTGCAACTATTTTGATTCTACACTTAAGCGACAATGTAAAATATTTGCTGGATTTTTAGCAGTGGTGGAAGAAGTACTCAGATCATTTACACAAGTAAAAGTAGCAATACCAGTGTGAAAATACTGTGTTAAAGGACCAAAAGTAAGAAAAACTCATGCTGAATGTCATATAACCAATTTTACTGGCTTATACTTGATCCTATGCCTATAATTTGAATTACTACTGGGTAGCTTGTCAATTGCCCACCAGGGATCAATAAGGCTTTAATTAACTAAATTCATCAATTAAATGTAATAGCACAAAAACTACAATATTGTCCTCTTAAAACAAAGGGAACTCGAAGTATTAAGTAGCAGAAAATGAAGTACAAATACCTCAAAATTGGGCTTGAGTAAATGTGCTTGGTTATGTTCCACCAATAGATTTTTTTCTTATTAGAACATTTACAGATTTCCCTCATCAAATGATGTAATGACCTGAAGAGGTTTGAGTTTGTGTTAGCTGGAAACAAAACGAGTATTTTGGTCTGATTTTGGCTTGAAGAAGAAGCAGCTTTATTTTATTGTCATTGTAACATTGTGACACGTACAACAAAATTTTGTTTGGAGCTGGAGGGGGCCCCAGGCCACTGCGTACATACGCACCGCCATCACAGGCAATTTGGAGGGGGAGGGGGGCGGGGGGGCCCGACTTGTCCAAATCAGTCTTGCCCAATCAAGATGAAATGATAATGAAAATAATCAACAGTTGCAGCCCCTATGTCTGTTACCTTCAACTGCCAGTGTTAGCCAAAAAGTTAATTTCCAACATGAACTGACATTAGGTTTGAAAACAACAATAAAATGGAAAACATGCTAAATTCAAACAAGAGAAAGCAGGTGAACACTGTACTTTTGCTCAGAATGAGGACTGTGCAATCATTTCATGGCCAGACTGGACAAATTATTTCACTAAGTCAAGTAGATATAGAGGTAAAGTCCTCACAAATGTCTAAAAATGATTTTCTGTGTGCACCTCTTTATAGACTGTTAGATGCGCGTGTGTGAGGTTTTGAGAGTATTTTTTTGCTCTTGGAACCATTAAGTATATGCTGCATTTAAGCAGCATATATCCTAAGGTGAACAGAGGGCCTAACATTACCTTAATACAGTACAGCCATGTTCTAATTTAAACTAAGATAAAGCCACATGACATTAGAATATTCCATGTTAAAATACACAGTCAATCTCTCTTTGGAAAAGAGCTTGAAAAGTCAAACATCTGAGTTTTCCACTGTACTTAAATGCAGCATACGGTTGTGGATCTGTGAGGAAATACTCTGAAAATCTTGCACACAAGCAGATCATGCTCCAGGTGATCGAACAATCTGTAAAGAATCATTTTTACACATTTGTGGCCAGTTAGAGGATTTTACCCACCATAAAGGCGACAGTAATAGACTACTTTGACAAATCCTTTCTCTCAGAGTGCTTATTGGAAGAGTGGAATGGCCTTCCTCGCCTGCTGAGGGAGAAACACATTGTTGTAGGTACTTTTATATTTTTCTTCCATTGGTGTATTAAAGACTTTGCAGTAAGCCTATGTGTTTGTATTTGGGACAAACACAGTGGTTTACTACTTACAGTCCTGACTTAGCTTTTGTCAAACTGCACTAGAATCTACTCTAGACAAATTACTTACAAAAAAACTCTTCTTTAATGAAAAGAAATTTTATTGGTCACTAATACAGAAACAAAAGGGTCTACTGAGCATGCTCCAAACTCTGCCTGTGACATGAGTGCAGGGCTTATCTATGGAACAGGGTTCAATAGGACAGCTCAGAGGGGAGAGGAGTAAATGTGTTTGTCTGTTCAGCACTGCTCAATATTTCTGAACGCTGTTGAGCAGAGACTCCCTCTCCATCAGCAGCTCTCCATATCTCTGTTGAAGTTCTCGCTCTCTCTCCATCTGCCTCTCCACGTCCTCCAGCAGAGCCTAAAACAAGATTGGAACAAGCATTTTCCAGAGATTAGGTTGTGTGAGGTCAGGCACACTAATGTTTTTAAGTTTGTATATTTATGTCTATGCAAATTCTCGGTCATCCAGTTCAGTTTTCAGGGAGGTGTTGATTCAACTGTGGTCATCTTGGAAGATTTAGTTTTGCTACAGTAAAACCCCTTCTGCATTATACAGAGAGCTGGTTTCTGTTATTTAGCATCATTGATAAAAATGAGGTGGACAAAATAACAGAAGCACCTGTCAGTGTAACAGTGCAGTTCAACAATAGCTGATAGTCAGGCAAGTTATGCAATGTTCCAAACCCATTTTGTTTCCTTTGCTGAATGTACTGTTAGTACAGTGTGTGTGTGTTAAATGTATTACCGCACGTCTCCTGGGGATGGCAGTATCTTCTTGTTTTTTCAGCTGCATGAAGGTCTGGAGCTCCACGGCTGCCTGCTCCACCTAGTGGACACCATGAGAACAACATTTAGTTGTTTCAGAAACCACAATCATATACATCCTGTAAGGGACTGAGTGAGGACTTCTATTAAATAACAATGAAACAATATTTGATGCCTTCATATAAATATGTCTTTTTGTATATATTGTAAAGCTACAAAGTCAGTTCAGTGATCAACACTTCATCTTCCAATTCAATATGGCTATGAACTAAGTGAAAAGAATAAAGTTTTTTTTTTTTTAGTTCTACATAAGACTCTTCCTTACTACAAAGTGTTCAGTACCTGTTCCCAGAGTTCGCTGTGCTGCTTCAGAAGCCCCAGGGCTCGGGACTGGAACCCTCCCAGCAGGATTTTGAGTTTCTTCTCCAGTTTAGCAGCTCTCCTGGCCTCTGCTGTCATGTGACCTCGGTTCACCTGGAAGGAGATGGATACAGGAGCCTCAGTCTTGGGACCACTTTGCTTATGTGTGATTTCACAGGTGTTTAAAACTGAACAAGGAACGCTTTCTATATCCATTGTTTCTCACCTCTAGTTTCTTCTCCAAGCTTTCAATGCGGTCTTTCTTTGAAGCCAGGTTAGCTCTGGTGTATCTGTTCTGACCAGGTAGATACAAAACCTGCACAGAGAGAGAAATTAATGGTCAGCTCGCAGCTGCGAACATGCCTTATATGGGGACAGAAGGATGCTCACCTGTCCGTAGCATTCCTCCCACACCTGGCTGTAGGCCTCCATGCTGAGATCACCATGACCCATTCCTGTCTTCACCACTTCCATTTCTGCTGCCAGTACTGCCTTTGCCTATGAACACAGCATCAATAACAACCACTTCTTGCATACTGGTTATCCTGCTCCTAGACCCCAGTCACTCACGCTCATACTGAAACAATCAACACCGATTTAACTGTGAACAACTTTGACTGTCGTTACTTGTTAGAACAAGAGACAACAGCTTTAGTGACGTGTGCGTGTTACCTGGTCCATGTCTTCTGTGATGATGGGCTTGTAGTGGTGAGTTTCCAGGTAAGCTATGTGTGACGCATTGTTAGATGTAGAGGTGGGGCCTCTGGTTTTGCCACGCTGCAGCTGGGTGGTCGCGTTGGCTGGGGGATGGTGCAGGCAGTCGTGGTGCAGCATGGTGATCATTTCCTGTTTGATCAGCTCCTCAGCCCATTGGAGGTCAGAAAGCGGCTCCAAGGAGGCTGGACGTAGGACGGACTCGTTTACCTGTCAAGAGAGACTATGGCATCATCATGCTGAGACAAATGAAAGCACTGATGTTCAGTTTCACCTTCCACCTGGAAGAAAATGCTCCTAACACAAACAGTCGCACAACAAAAGTGGCTTTACATGGGTGCCCTATGAGTCTTTGCTTGGTCAAATTTAAGTGTGGAAACAATATTCTAGCAGGTTTTATCTTTGTTTAGTTCATATTTTAACATTATCTGTATCAGAAATGCGACACGACAACATGGAGAAATGTCATTGCACATAAATGTCATGTGACTGGAGCTGAAGATGGGAAGTGCTGAAGAGGTCATTGACACTCACACTGTCCCGCTACAGTCTGCCACAGACTCGGTGGTGGTAACACTCAAACAAACCACCAGGAAGTGAGTGTGTTCATTACCTCAGTAGGTCTGGGGAGATTCCTCTGAACAGCAGTGTGTCGCAGCTTTAGCTCCTTCTCTCTTTCTGCCTCCCGCTGAGCCTGACAAACACACACACACATAAAAACAGTCAGCCATTGCTTTATTTGAACTACACAGGCACAAACAAATGCATAAATTTTACTTGGAGATTCAGAGGATGTTGAGCACTCAAAAACATTGTGGTCATACCTGCTTGCGTCCCTCTATGTCGGCCGAGTCCTCAATGAACCCAATCTCTGTCTCTGTTTCTTTGAGTTCTTTCTCTGCATTTTCAGGAAGAACAATCTCAAAATCGTTTTTGGGAACAGGAAGAGACATCAGGCCCTGCCTCAGCTGCTGCAGGGTTTCCCTTTGCTGTGTGTGGAGGAGAAAGGTGACAGGAAGTACTTGGTTATTAACTGTATTAATTATTCTTAATTTAGTGCTGTCTTAATAACGTTTTTTGTTAAAGTATGTGATATGATCCAAACACCAAAGTCCATATATAGTAGGTGTTGTGTATTTACAGTGCGACTGTGGTAAGATGGAGTGTCTGTTTACCATGTGTTTAGCGTATGCAGGGTCAGCCAGTTGCTCCTCACTGTTAATATTCAGTTTGTCTCTCAGTGGAGTACGGACGGGGGTTAAACCTGGGGTCCCAGCCCCACGCGGGGTCATCGCTCCTCCAGCTTGAGGGGTCAAGCCCTCCGAGCCCTGACCTGGTCCAGGAGTTCTGTTAAAGAAGACATGATCACAGATGTTAACATTTGCAGTATCAGCTAGTTTGTTGTATCACAGCAGAGGTGAGAGCACTGTGAACCTGAATGGCGTGCTGAGCACTGTGTTGGGGGTTTGTATCTGCTGCCGCTGAGGTGTCACTCCACTGAAATCACTCTCATGCAGTGGAGTGTTGAGGCCTCCCTTCAGAGGCGTGTCAATGTTGGTCAGAGCCATCAGATTCTGGGCTTCCTGAAAACACAGACGCATGTACACAGTAAAATATGTGACACACAATGTTCATTATTATCCAAAGCTGTGAACTAGTTGAACTTAGCTGGTATTCTGCATAAATTGGTCATTAAATGTGGTCTGATCAGCACAAGTACAGATAAATACTATGTGCTGAACCTAATAACACAAAAACAGTTAGTCTTTGGTGCCATTATGAGCACACCCAGTAAATATTTACAATGCTAGTGGAAATATTTTCCATATTTTAAAACAAATTTACACACACATTTTACAGGGCTCAATTACTTTTTCTTGCTACCATATGTGAAGTGTATGGCGAGTTTTTTTTTTTTTTTCACCAGAGGCTAAGGCTTTTATATATTAGATTATATAGAATATTAGATATTTTATAGACTTGTGAAATAACTAAAGAGCAACAGATCAGTTGAGAGTGGAAAAAAACTACACAGCCACACACCCATGTTTTAACAAGAACCTGACTTATCAAAGCGTCGTGACAGAGAGACCTCTTGAATTGTACAGTGAGGATCAGAAGTATTTGAACACCCTGCGATTTTGCAAGTTCTCCCACTTAGAAATCATGGAGGGGTCTGAAATTCACATTGTAGGTGCATTCCCACTCTGAGAGACAGAATTAAAAAAAATTCAGGAAATCACATTGTATGATTTTTAAAGAATGTATTTGTCTTGCACTGCTGAACATAAGTATTTGAACACTTGAGAAACAGCAAGAATTCTGGCTCTCAAAGACCTGTTACTGTGCCTTGAAAAAGTCCACCTCTACTCCACTCATTAATCTAAATTAGTAGCACCTGTCTGAGCTCTTTAAAGACACCTGTCCACCCCACAGTCAGTCAGACGCCAACTACTACCATGGGCAAGACCAAAGAGCTGTCAAAAGACACCAGAGACAAAATTATGGACCTCCACAAGGCTGGAAAGGGCTACGGGGCAATTGCCAAGCAGCTTGGTGAAAATAGATCAACTGTTGGAGCAATTGTTAGAAAATGGAAGAGGCTAAAGACGACTGTCAATCTCCCTCGGACTGGGGCGCCATGCAAGATCTCACCTCGTGGGGTATCACTGATGATAAGAAAGGTGAGGAATCAGCCCAGAACTACAAGGGAGGAGCTGGTCAATGACATGAAGAGAGCTGGGACCACAGTTTCAAAGGTCACTGTCGGTAGAACACTACGCCGTCATGGTTTCAAATCATGCATTGCACGGAAGGTTCCCCTGCTCAAGTCATCACATGTCCAGGCCCGTCTGAAGTTTGCCAAAGACCATCTGGATGATCCAGAGGAGGCATGGGAGAAAGTCATGTGGTCAGATGAGACCAAAGTAGAACTTTTTGGTCTAAACTTCACTCATCGTGTTTGGAGGAAAAAGAAGGATGAGTTGCATCCCAAGAACACCATCCCTACTGTGAAGCATGGGGGTGGTAACATCATGCTTTGGGGGTGCTTTTCTGCGAAGGGGACAGGACGTCTGCACTGTATTAAGGAGAGGATGAATGAGGCCATTTATTGTGAGATTTTGAGCAACAACCTCCTTCCCTCAGTCAGAGCATTGAAGATGGGTCGTGGCTGGGTCTTCCAACATGACAACGACCCGAAGCA